AGTGAAGAACGAGATGTTTAAAGTCTAGTGTATCTTTCAAATTGACATTTTGAGAGCGAATTTAGCGAGTTTAGCAACACGCGAATTTTAAATCGTACTCATTCATACTTGCTTGGTAATTTTGTGAGTATAATATCTCAAGTTCAAGTTTTAATTATCTCTGCTGTTATAAAGTATGTTGTATGGACTCACGTTTCTGATGAATAACAAAGTTTATTATAAAAGTAAAAAAATAAAACTTTATCTATTTTTTTTTTTTCATTGATGGTAAGATCAGCTAATATTTTAGCTACTTTTTATCAATAATAACTGATTTTGTTGGTGTTGGTCTGAAGAAATAAAAATATTTTCGTCAATTTTTATTTTTCAGATCAATTAAAAGAAGGGGATTATCAACTGCGAGCCTGCCAATGCCAAATGGATTTCTTTAAGAGGCAAAAATAAGCTCTAAAATGTCTGCCTTTTTATTTTATTTCTTAAAAGATGAAAAAACCTCTTGATGCTTGAAACACAATTTTTCATGTGGGTTTGGAAAAAACTGTCCACTACAAATTTGTCACTTCACAAGCACTCGACACCCTTAGGATCTTTTCTACACTTTTCTTCACCACATCAGTTGATATTTGAAGTCCAGGAGGATTTAAAAAAAATGAAATATAAAATAAAACGTGACAAGGAATTGTGATTTTCATTGATGATATTTACGAAAACTGTGACGTTGATAAGCTAGCGGATGAAGTTGTCTTGAGGGAAAGCCAAATGGAATCGAAACATCTAGGAAAGGAAAAAGGAAACGGATCTTCAATCGACACGTCTTCGACTTTCTCACATGCACTTCCAATCTCATCTCCTGAAGCTAAGAAATTCACGCTAACACATCACGCGCCAACTCTCAAAGGTCATTTACCCCCCTTCAAAGACATAAAATATAAAATTTATCGTTGTCAGTAAAAGAATCGAAAAAAAATCAAAAATACCTTCTTGAATATTCGTTTTATCATGACATCGAATTGCAATTGGAAAACGTGCAAGCGACAGGCATCGATGGAGTAGTATTTGTTGACTAGAAGTAAACTTGGTACACAACACTGTGCAACAACAGTACGAGTATGAGTTACCTTTCACCATCACCTCGATCGCCCTCGATATATAAACGCGACGGTTTACGCTGAGTGTTTGAACCACCCTGCACAATATACCAGTCAAGGGAAAGAGAGAGATAAACATTATAGAAGCAGAGAATAGAATAGAAAGAGAAAGAAAATAGAAAAGTAGGGATGGTATAGCATCTCTATAGAGCTTTAGGCACTTGATCGCAAGGCCAACGAACCAGAGAGCTCTTCAACCATTTTTAAATTCCCAGGAATTTTCTCACTCGACTTAATTGGAAATTAATTGAATTTATTCTTCAGCTCAAAATCGCCAGAACTTGAAGGAGCTTTCAGGATATCTATGTTTTTAGTTACAACCCTTTGACTATAATTACTGTTCACTTTACTGACGCAAATTATTCTAATATTCTGTAGTTATTAGAGCGGCTAATATGATGTTTCTGAATCTATTTAACTAAGGGGAGATGGATGAAATTAGCAAACAAAGTATCATTATTTTGGTACACTTTGAGAAACTTCTGTTTACTGAATTGTAAAAAATAAAACAAGTTTGAGGATGAAAATATTCATTCGAAAGAATCAACTTATGGTTGGTGGAAATTTCGAGGAAAATATTTGGAGATTGGTTTATAATTTATGAGTTTGTCAGATGTAGATGAATCAATTTGATTGAGTACAGGTTGTTTTTGAATAGTGTTCACAGATATACATATATCTGACAGAATAAAATAAAAATTTCTAGGATGATTGATCGAGAGTAGAGTTTTTGTGTAAGAGCACATTTAGTATTTCATGATTTTAAAATAAGTATACTTGTAAAATTTAAATCAAATGAATAGAGTGAAGCTTGATACTATTGTAATTGTATTGAAAAAAAAAACAGATTAACTCCAAAAATGCAATTTATCAATTATTCTAAGTAAATAGTCTGCTATTTTACTGAAGGATTTAAATATTTATATAACTATTCCTATTTCTGACTCACTACAGAAATTTATTTAACATTGAAGCACTGAGATCGGTACTGGTGCCTTAGAATTGAACCACTGATATCGATTAAATGTAAAAAGAAGTGTTTTATCTGTAATCAGGAATAATTTAGAAAAATGTAAATGTAAAAGTGTTTTGGAATAATAATGTAGCCCTATATGCATAGACTTTAGTGATTTAATTTGCAATATCTAGCTTGCAAAGACGATTTTCACATCATTTTTGCTCAAATCATTTTTATGACATTAAAGAAATAACAACTTTGAAATTTACTTTATATATCAATCACCCCTAAATAATTTAAAACTTAAATTGCACTGAACAAAAATAAAAATTACATATTTAAATGGTTTAAAGATGTTATTAATAGATGAACTGAATTAAATAGTCAATTAAATTCCTATTGTAGTATCTATATATTATTTTTAAAACCATTCATAAGAATAGGTTGAATTGATGATTGATAAAAGCATTAGAAAAATTAGTTAACCATCCACAAATACAACAGATTTTATTTTTAAACAAAAGAATGTTCAATTTAATGTTAAAAATAATACCGTTAGATTAAATTAAATGGATTAATTGAAAAATTGAACCTCCACTAGGTTGTAATATATACCAATCAATATAATTTTCATTGAACGTGATAGGGTTTATTGGACATCTTTACCAATAATTTTTCGTTATAAAATAATGTTATTATTGGTTTTGAATTATTCTCCAAATAATCCTTTCATTAATTAACAAGCTTATTGAATATTTTTAACAATTTTTAGGTTCAAAGATCTCCAACTGTAATAAAAAACAAAAAAGCTTGATATTAATGAAATTTACATTTTCACTAAATCAACTTTTATACTGATAATTGAAGCATGTAATATAAAAACTTACCAAATTTCTAAGTTGTGTGCAAGTGCTTGAGGCTAGTAGTCAAGTAGTCAACATAACTCCTAAGTTTTACTCATGAATTCTAACACTTTGGTTAAGTTTTTGACTTTACTGTTCTAATACACAATACATCATTCCCACCTAATAGTGATGACAAATAATGAAACATCTAGTTTTCAAACTATACATAATTACAACAATTACTCAAATCCTCATTATTCTCAAGTAATCTTCCATCAACAGTTACATGAGAAAGCTAAAAATGAATTTTCAATTATAATCGACAACTTTTCATAATAAAATTAAACCAACATCAAAAGAAAACAGTTCAATTAATTTTATATAAAAAAAAAATCCAAGTAATAACTGTTAAGTCAGAATGAGTCCATTTCCGGTGGTTAAATGCAAAGAACTTCCAGTAAGAAGGGTGACATGAGTCACAAAGCGTGTCGGAACGTGTCGGATTTTCTTTATAAAAAAAAAGCGACAAGAAAAAATAAAAAGGAAGTGAAGATTTGAGGATTTGAACGTCGTTCATTTCTTCAGAACAACTAGGATATCTTTTTCTCCACCTTTCTTCTTCCTGAAATTTTTTTATTCTTGTCGTAGGTGGTACGAAACGTTTTCTGCAATGTCTGTAGTACCTGTGGTGTTACTGGACCTCATCCAGGCACAGCCACAAGCTTGTGAAGCTTACAGGAGAGCCCGTTTAATGGTACTTTCTCGAGTGTGAGATACCTCTTCTCTCATTCTTCCTCTTACAAACCATTCTAACAACTTCAGACGTTATTTCAGTAGCAATAGAGTCTAAGACACAACGTCAGCACTATTCATCATCATTTAAAAGCTTTTTTTTCATCATATTATACACGTAATTGCATGATGAAGGTTAAAGAATTCATAAATTATACATGTATATTGCTCTTTAGTAATTATTTTAAACGATATCGTGATATATTGCTAGTCAAAACGCACTGTGCGTGCCGTACTATAGTTGTACTTTTACTACTACTTTACTACCACACCACTACACCACCAGACAACCGATACTCTTACCACCCGACTTAACATACCGTTGAGACAGTGTAGAGAGGGTTGCTGCTCTCTAACATTTCACTCGAAATGTGCAAACGAAGGAATACTACTCAGGCAAGGGTAATTTTGCTTTGAAATCGATTTTGAGTATTTTATAAACGAAATAAAGTTGATATTAAATCAATCATAATTTTTAAAATTGAATAAACCAATAGATTCTTTAGATATTGAAGTTGAATATTATTTTAATGATTGATTTTATTTTTTTATGAATTCAAATTTTACGAGTTAAAGATATTTATCGTTTTATCAAGTCTTTTTCAAGGTAAAAGATGCATTCAATGATAATATTGCAAAGCTCACTGTTCGTGTTTTATATTTAGATTTATTAAAATATACGTAAATTAGATTGATAATGTAGTAAAAGTGGTAGAGAAATAATATTTTTTAGAAATTTTACAGAAAAATAAATTAAATATTCAAATGTTTGATTCATTAATCATAGAAAATTTGGTGATAAAATAACACTATCAGTTTTAATTAATCATGATTTGTCAAAAGGTAATTTCAATAATTACTTTATAATAATACATTTTTTTTTCTTCACTCAGTTAAGTAATAAATCAGAAATTTTATTAGAGAAAATTTTAACCTTCATGTTATTTCTCTATTTATAAAATACTCAAATTTATATTTAGTAATTCAACGATACTCCAATGTCTTCAACTCCAAATATTGTATTGTGCATTTCTTAAATTTCAAACTCAATGATAATAATTCGATCAAACCTGAAATGAGTTCATAAATCTCTAAAGATTCTGAAAATCTTGATGAAGTTACTTTGGTAAATAGGCAATTAAAAATCATTCCAATTATAGCACATTGTATCAATATCAGTTGCCACTAGAGACTTTTTCTTTCATCTTAAACTGAAAAAAAAATAATAACAATAAGTGAAGAAAACAAGAATATTACCTGGTCCGGCCGCCCCAAGGTCAGGTCAGAGGGTTTCATGAAACGAAGTGTCTTTCTTCTATTTCTCCAAAATCCTCTAAATCCACTCACAAATAAACCACAAACACCAGAACTCGTCGTTGCACAGGTTGAGCTTTTGCACTGGATCAACGGGTGGATGAAGTCACGAAAACGTTTGATGTGGCTGTGATTAGGGATAAAAAATGTATTCGGGGGATAGAGGATCACACTTTGGTGGTGAATGCGCGGCATACGCGATCGTCAGGTTTCTGCGGTCGTCCTGACCGCGAGTACAACAGTTGGGGTCGGCCTGACCTCCTCAAGCTTCTTTTAAGAACTGGCGGGAGCTTCGTCTGCTTCATATCACACCACGCAGCCAGTGGCCCCTCTCCCGGGTATCATCCCCTTCTCCAGCCAATGCTCTCACGAGTATTCCCCCACTTTTACCCTCGTCTCAGAGACTAGCCTCACCCTAGAATAATAGGAACATACTACCCCTCTTATGCGCCGTCCTTTATGGTATCTCGCGCGTCTTTAATACTCCGTCTTTTTATCTTTGTTCAATCATTTTTTATCATTAACGATCTCTGTTTATCTCAATCAAGTCCTCGACTCATTTTGATTTTATTATTTACATATTTTATTTTTAATACTCTAGACATTTCTCCAATTACTCATCAATTTATCTGTTACATACAAAAAACCGAGTTCTGCTTTAATGAAGCTAATGAGCATCAATTAGCTGTATGTTTTATTATTGACCAGTTTTGGTTTTATTGTTCAAATAAATCTTTAGATTTTGTTGAAACATTTGTGAGCTATGGTTCAAGACATCCTCTTTAAGGTTCTGTTTTATTTTTTAGTTGAATATGTAATTGATTTTTTTTGCATACAATCACTTTTTATATCGACATATTTTATTCACCAGTTCAACTAAATGATGATATCAACTGGTATTTATCAAAGATTCAATAATTGTTTATTCATTACTATAAGTAATTCAACTGAGTAAAGTAACTTTCGCTTTGACTGCTCATCATTAATGAGAATGAATCGTAGTTACTTCACTAACATAGTGTTAATAATCATTGAAAGTATGATCTTTTACAGATATTTTCTATTTGCTCCTATTCAATTAAATTTTCGTTTAACTAGTAAACTTAAATGTATATGCTGAGTCTTTTAACTTTATCCATAAATAGATTTTGCAGTCGAATAGTTTAAAACAATACTTGAAAATAAACTATAAGTCTTGTTGAAAATGTCTTGGTGATGATTATTTCAATATTTCTGACTATTTGAACAATAAATTAGGTTGATAATATCTAGTTTATATTGCACCACTTAGTGTTTTTTAGAAATAGTAATTTTCTCAAGTCTTAGAAAAAAGTGTATAATTTGTGTTCCATATATATTGTGGAAATGAGTCAAGTTTTTTTGTTGAAGAAAAGAAAATTGAAGATTGAAGAAGTGGAGGTTTTGTGGTAGTTGATGACCCAAACTCTTTCCTTCTCTTTTCGTGTTGATAGTGCCAAAGAAGAGTCTACTGAAATTTAGCTGGGAAGCTTGCCAAGATTAACGTACGAGTAAACAATCTTCAGGGATTAGTATACCAATATATCACATTATATCATTTTGCAAGTTTGCCAAAAGTCTTGAACAATTGTTTTTAATTGTTCCATATCTGTCTGTTTATGTAGTGGATATCCTGCAAAAAAATCATTGAATTTAATGTTGGAGAAAATCATAATGAAAACAATAGAGATTCTATTGCTTTTGTGAATACTACAGAGATGCTGGAGAAAATGAGATCATCTATTGTGTTAGTCAAGCCGTAAAAATTGTATATAAGAGACAGAGGGTAAAAAAATGGTAAAGTGCAGTACGATGTGCTACTACCTACCTTGTGGTACACATAGCAAGTTCATTTCTCACGAAGGTTAAAATCGATAAGCGCTCAACCACCACGCAACACAGTTCTATCCTCACCCCTGACCTCATCATGAGCTACAAATTTACTGCAAGTCGATTTCTGACTTGTCACTTGAGCTTTATCATGAACAAGTGATCTTAAATAATGTTTGTTTTTATAAAAGAGAAATATTTTATCATTGCACTCTATTTGCTGTCAACACTCGTAAGTTGGTGACCAGTTATAATAAAATATAACCTCTATTTACCAAAGTTCGATACTGCTAAATACGTGGTCCCTGAAATCTAATTTTACTTTTACATTTATTTCATTAAAAAATTGAGGTTAATTTTAGAGCACAATTTTAGTTGTTCAAGAATGAATTATCAAAAAAAATATTACAAATATTCTTGATGATAAGGGTGATAATGAGTGTAGTAAATCACTTATTTTAAACCTACAAACTAACATCAGGCATTTTGAAAAAATTGCAATAAATTATAAAATGAATCAATAATAACAGAGTGTCGTATGGAGATGATGATTAATGAAAGAATAATTCAAAATAAATCAACGTTATCGCATATTTACTGAACATCTTATGAAAAATTGTATTTTGATGATGACATTCAAATATAAAAAACAAATCAAATATACTTATGATAGATATTGTTTAAATTTGGCGGGCAAAAGAAGCGCGCGGAAAATGAGAACATGCGTCATAAGAAAAAAACAGACCACCAGATGGCAGCACTCAAAGTAATGGCGAACTCACGAAAGCTTAAACCGGTCATGGAGCGTAGTTAACGGCTGCATTGTGTCTCCGGAATAATTGTTCTTTATTTAAACTTGATTATTCTGTAAGAATTAATCTTCATTATATTGATCAACTTTAATACGGTATTTTGAGACTCGAAGAAACAAAAAATGGGTGCATATCTATCGGAGCCGGTAACGAAGAAGATCTCGAGCGACGAATCAAGCAAGAATGTGGCGTTCGGCGCGAGTTCCATGCAAGGCTGGCGAGTAAGCCAAGAGGTGAGACTAATTTTTACTTGATTCACATTAATCTGTATTTATTATGGTTATTTAATTTTTTATAACTTTCACACACATAAGTTTATTGAAATAATTACTGATTGTTGAGGAAGGACTTTAGTTTAATATCTTTATGAATTGTTGATATTATTAATATTTTTCATGTAATAAATAATCTTACAAAACGACAATGGTCGTTTTTCAAAAAAAAAAGAACGTTGAGCTTATTCTAAGAAATATATTTAACAAATAAAATAACATTCAAAATTTTATAATCTGTAGAATAAATTAAATAGCATATTTATTTATTCAAACTAAAGATTTTCTTTATTAATATGATATGTTAATCGAGTTGAAAACATATAAAAATTAAAGATTGATAATAATTATTCTTGATATAATGCAAAAGTTTTAATTTATAATAATTTGTCATGTTTATTGATAATAAAAAATACAAATTTTATGATGTTTTGATAATAGTAATAAGTGAGTCAGATCTTTAGTTCTTATTCAATGTTGTTTTTTTCAGGATGCTCACAATTGTTGCATAGATTTCGATGAAAACGTTTCACTCTTCGCAGTTTATGATGGTCATGGAGGACATGAAGTTGCAACATATTGTGCGAATAAATTACCTGAATTTATCAAACAAACGGAAGCTTATCAAAAAGGAGACATCAGACAGGCATTAATAGATGCTTTCTTAGGTTTCGATGCAACATTAGCTAAACCAGAGGTGATAAAAGTCTTGAAAGATATTGCTGGGAATAGCATTGATAATAAGGATAAATTAGATGATGAGTCTGATGTTGAAGAAAATGTAATGAATTTGCGACAAGAAGCAGAAATGCCATTAGAACAGGTGATGGCTAAATATTTGTCAGAAAATCAAGTCCAAGCTATTGGAGAAAAATTTGGCAAAAAAATGGCTGCATCAAGTCCTTACATTCGAACTCGACGAACCAGAGAACGTCCTGGAAATTCATCAGGTGCCAGTTGTTCGTCATCATCATGGAGTACAAATGAGGCAGACGTTAGTAGTTCCAGTCAATCTTGCTCAAGTTCTGGATGTCCTTCTGAGCCATCTATTTCAGATAAACATGAGAAACCCAATAGCCCTCGGAGCAGTGAAGTTGAACAAATTTTAGATTCCACTACAAGTAACGGTGAAGTTTCACATGATGCGGCTGCAACAGAATCACCATCAAAATCTGCAGATATGCCTGATAGTTCAGAAGACGTCAAAGAAAAAGTATCGCCAAGTAAAACAGAAGAAAGTACAGAAGATAATATTGAAGTAAATGGATCGGAATCAAAAAAAAAAGAAGATGCTGATAATGGACGAAGTTCTAGTGATGTTTCCAGTAGTTCTTCAGTAGAAAATGGAGAAATAGACCAACAAGAAGGTATAAGCAGCAGTAGTCGAAGGATAAGTAAAGAATCATGTTACAGAAGTCTTTTACAAGCTCGCATAGATGCTTCTGATGATGAAGATGACGATGATGATGAGGAGAATGATGAAACTTTTGATGGATTGCCTGAGAGTGTAAGTGAAGATGATACGGAAGATATGGAAGATGAAGATGATGATGAAGATAGTGATCAAGTTGATGAAGATGATTATGAAGAAGAAGAAGATGAAGATAGTTTCACTGTAACTGAAGAGCCAGGATCGGATAGTGGTTGTACTGCAGTTGTTGCTATCTTGAAAGGTCAAGATTTATATGTTGCAAATGCTGGAGATTCAAGATGTGTTCTTTGCCGAAATGGAGAAGCTGTAGAGCTCAGTTTGGATCATAAACCAGAAGATGAGCCGGAAATGAAACGGATCATGGCCGCTGGAGGTAAAGTTACTGCTGATGGTCGAGTTAATGGTGGTCTAAATCTATCTCGAGCACTTGGAGATCATGCTTACAAACAGAGTACTGAATTACCTCCACAAGAGCAAATGATTTCGGCTCTGCCTGATGTTCGACATGTAACAATAGATCCGAAAAATGATGAATTTATGGTACTTGCTTGTGATGGCATTTGGAATTTCATGTCTAGTTCTCAAGTCATTAAATTTGTACGAGAAAGAATAAACACCTGCGAAAATTTATCGAAGATCTGTGAACAGGTAATTTAACATTATTAAAATAAATGTAACACTTGCTTAACGTGCTTAACACCTGGACTATATTAATAATTATTTTTTACCCCAGTATACTCATATATTTATTTAGTTTATTATAATCGTTATTTTAAAGTCAGTTATTTATTACGTTTAAAATTGTTTCGTTATTTATTTTTACTATTAATTGATCATAGTTTCTTAATGAAATTTTATCAACGCTTTATTTGCCAAAATTATATAATAGTAATATTTTTTCAGCTTTTCGATCAATGTTTAGCGCCAGATACCTACGGTGATGGAACTGGTTGTGACAATATGACAGCCATAATTGTTAAATTTCAATCACCAGACTCAGAGGAAATTAAAAATAATGCCAATGATGAAAAAGAAATACCGATATCAAACAAAAGGCCACTATCACCAACCAAACCAATCAGTGATTCAGATGGAGCAATCACAAACGAACAAAATGATGAATGTAAACGTGCGAAAGTTGAAACAGTTTGAAAACAATATTGAAGATTTTTTGGACTAGTAAAATTGATCTCTGTCAACTGTTAAGTGACTGATGTGAAATCATGTAAAATTACATTATTTAACCGTGTACAACTGGACAAATCTTTACTGGACAACGACAGTTTTGAACTGCTGTAGTGTGTAAAATATGTGTCAGTGTTGGAAACAAATGACACAATAATATTAAGTGGAGCAAATGAGAAATTAATTGATTTATTAGTTATTTACATTCGTATTTTTTACAAACAATTTTTAAAATATATCAACAGACGCTACGGTATTTTCTCGAAAAAGAATAATTATTCAAAAAAAAAAAAGCTTTTATGGACTTTTTAACTAATTAATCAATTGATAACTTTATCATTAATAGATCTATACAATATCATTGTTTCTTTTTATTTTTAACTTTTATAAGTAGATTTTTGTTTTATCAGAATCATAGTATCTTTGATCATTTAATTAAATCAAGAAGCTAAGAATAAGTTTTATGTTCACATTGATATTATTTATAATAATCATGAATTTAATATTGAGACTAATAAAACTCTTTCAGGAAAAGAGTAATTGGATTTATTTAGATGATAAATTTGAATAGTTATTTATTTATGTGAGTAACTTAAAATCATATTTACGTAATTAAAGTGATTTTTATACTTGTTTTTGATGCTCCTATGCTCCATTTAATTGTTTCCTAATGTTTTTAGAATATATGTGTAATAGGTATGTAAATACAGATATTTAGACAATAGGGTTTATATATGTAATTTATAACTCTACACCATTTCTTATTTTTGACGAATAAAATTTATTTTCCAATTTTATTCTTTCAATTATCAAGATGTTTATCAAAATTAACTGTAAATGAAATGTTTTTTTTTTCTCAATTATATAAAAATTGAACATAAAAAATGATATTGTTGATAATAGATGACATCATAATGTTACAAATTAATAATTTGGCAGAATATGATGAAGGTGCCTTTAAAATGCAAGATAACAACAAATATTTGAATACTTTAAATTTTAATAAATTAAATTATAATTGCTATTAACCTAAAAACTAGAATAATGATAATAATAAATAATAGTTAACTTCAATTTTCTATATTATCTAATTTGTACTTTCATTTAAAGACAAATCATGTTTGATATGTTGTAAAGAACTTTTGATTTGCTAGTTTTTATTTAATGTCTAATAGATAAAGCTTTCAATTACTGAATATAGATGATTAATAAATTAAAATACATTTAGCTTTGAATCAGTTTCCCAAACAATTCCTCTAATTCTATTAATTCCTCAGACAAAAGTAACTATCAATTATCATTTTTAAATTGTGAATGCATTAATAGTAAATTATTTTTGTGTTATTCATAAATCCACTCAGTCGAAAGAAAGTATGTAAAATAATTAATTAATCATCAAATGTTCTATTGTTTCGAGTTGTTCTGACTCAATTTTCTTCAATGAATCATATTGGACGCGTAGACGTTCTAATTCCATTGTTTTCTCGATAATCATTGCCTACAATAAGTGATAAATTAATTTTTATGATCATTATTAAAAAAATTTTACAATAAATAAAAAAACTCATGTACCTGTATTTTTTGTTTTTGTGCATCTCTTTGCTTTTCAACTGAACTTAACAAATTTCGCGCGCCAATTGTTCGCATTTTTTCTTTCTCTACTTCAGCCGCTAATTTATCAAGCGTTTCAATAAAGAAATCAGCATTTTTTTTAAAATCAGTTATTTCTGGAAAAAAATAAATAACTGAAGTTGCTATAAATTCAATATTAATATTTTTGTGATCAGAAAAAATAAAATTCATTTAATATACACACATGTGCAGGTGCATAAAATGTCAATAAATCTGAAAAAATAGTGCATATGATTTTGGGCGGACTTACTGGATACAAAATCTTGACATTCTACGCTCAATTTTTCACTTTGTGTTGTTACCTCTGGTTCTAGAATACGTAATTTGCATAAATCATCCACGTATAATCCATATTTAGCTAGCGAATCTGCCATTTTGTTCAAAACAGTTTCAGAACAAAACAAAATATAAAATGCACATGTATATGATATAATATGTGTTGTAAAGGTGTGTACCGTCCTCTTACGAAAGTATTCGAAATAATGTGAGGTTAGCTATACATATTTCTATTGATAAAATAAATTATCAATTATTTATTTTCCATGCTTAAATGCTAAGATGGCTGACAGAACACTACAGCAGAATAAAATTAATAATTCATTTTAGAAGAACTTTTTATTGATAAATCTTAATCGCAAAAATTCTTGCTACTTTCTTTATTATAAAAAAAATTATTTTACGTCTTTAAACATAATATTGGAGTCATAAAAAATAATTTTATGGTTTTTTTGATATAGCATAGAATTGAAGAATTGTAGACTGATAACTCTCTACACAAAAAAAATTCCTCCCTCAGTCGGTAATTCCTCGGAGGGTATAGGCCGGGCTCAATAGATAACAACCCAGGCATTAATCGATCCAGGTGTACCAACTAAAAATTCCTACGAATAAGCTACTTTTGGGCTTCTAGGTAAGACAGTATTCTTTGATGGAGGATTTGCGCACGCACTAAACGACCATTATTTCTGTTTTTTCTGTGTGTCATGTGGTCGTCTTGTGTTATTACCAGTGCATTTCGGAGTTCAATAATTAATTTATGATAAAATACTTGACTTATTTTCATTTATATAATTATAACCATACTAATATTAATCCAATAATGAAAATATCATGAGTATTGGTAAATAGATTAAGTGAATTAAACAAAAATGACATTTATGAGTATCACATAAAAAGAATTATTGGATACACACCCGTATTTTGAATACTAAAAAATTAATAAGACAGCTGAACACGTGATTGATAAGTTTCCTGACAACTCGATCGATTGGAATAAATCAGCAACGTTATTTACGTTGCCAGAGTAGTTAATTAAATGTTGATAGCTACATCTGACAAAATCGAGCCACCAGAGTCATCGTCGTCGACCTCGTCTCCGACGACGTCGGAAGTTCAACCGACGTCGACGTCGTCTTCATTGATAGTTAGCAATACCGGAATGTCTGGTGATCATCGTCCAGTAATTCGCTACCCGTCTGAATATATAAAGCTTAATATCGGCGGGTCGTTGCACTACACTACTCTAAGTACACTTAGGAAGCATGATACTATGCTTCGTGCAATGTTCAGTGGACGTATGGACGTTCACACTGACTCCGAAGGTATAAACCTAACAAGTAATTTATCAAATCATTATTTTTATGGTAACCTCACTTTTATTGTGAACTACTACTCCATCAATTGTTATTAAAAATCTGTGCATAAATTTATCGCTTCTCTGTTAGTTTAATTAGCATTGACGATTATCATTCATTATGACTCATAATTGTCTATTGTTAATAATCATCGGATGTAATGATAAATATTCACATGTTTATTTTAATTGGACTAATTTTATTTCAATGAGGCTTTTTTATTCTCAGGATGGATTCTCATAGATCGATGCGGAAAACATTTTGGTACAATTTTAAACTTTTTAAGAGATGGATCTGTCGCTCTTCCAGAAAGCACGAAAGAAATAACCGAGCTTCTTGCTGAAGCTAAATATTACTGCATTAGTGAGCTCGCTGAGTCATGTGAACAAGCTCTTCTTAGGAAGGAACGTGAAGCTGAACCTATTTGTAGAGTTGCTCTTATTACTTCCCAAAAAGAAGAGCAATTTCTTATCAGTAGTACTACTAAGCCTGTGATTAAATTACTTATTAATAGGCATAATAATAAATATTCTTATACAAGGTAATGTTTAATGATGGATAATTGTGTACATCTTTTAATATAATCAATAATATAGTGTATATATAAATTTATTCTATATTTATACGATTTTACAGCACCTCTGATGATAATCTATTGAAAAATATCGAATTGTTTGACAAAATGTCATTGAGATTTAATGGAAGAGTCCTATTCATTAAAGATGTTATAGGATCAATAGAAATCTGTTGTTGGACTTTTTACGGACACGGTAGAAAAGTTGGAGAAGTATGTTGTCATTCAATAGTTTATACTACTGATAAAAAACATACCAAGGTAAGAAATGATTATATAAAACAGTTTTTGCTTTGAATATTAAATCAAAGCTTTTCTCTGTTATTCATAGTTTCATCAGAATATTAAACATTATATCTCGTATTATTTGTGATGTAAGTAAAAATAATTCATTAATTTATTTAGGTGGAGTTTCCAGAAGCTCGCATTTACGAAGAAACGTTAAATATTTTATTATACGAGCACAGAAATGGACCTGATCAAGAGCTTATGCAAGCAACATCATCTCGGGGTGCTGTTGGAGGAGGACCACCTTGCACTTCTGATGAAGAGGAAGGCGAACGTTCTGGGTTAGCTCGTCTCCGTACTAACAAACAAAATACCAACTGACCCTCCCGTTCTGTCCCTCCTTCTCGTCCATATCCTGTAAATCCAGCAATTATGAGTATACTTCGTTCATTGAGAACCCACGCTCATATCAAGTAAAACATTTTTATTTAACATTAAAAAGCAAAACAAGAAAAAGTCGAATAGGAAGAGAGAACGAGAGAGTGAAAATAAGCGTAATAAAAAAAGAAAATGTATTTATCTTTACTTTTCACTATTGACCAATTATTAATTATCATTTAATGATTGATTTAGAATTGATCCAAGTGCCAAACCTTCAAATATCGATAAAATATATGATAATTACACTTACAATTATTTAAAATTAATTATTTTTCTCTACGGGACTTCAATGGTGTTACACCATGAATATATTCACCCTGTATTATATCAAGATTGCGATAATTATAACTATTTATTATCATTTTTATTTGTCAATTTGTCATATTTATGAATATTCTGAGCGATTAAAATATTATTACTTATTGTATATTGTTTGATTTTTTATTTGTTAATTATGTTTTACCACTTTGTTTTATTGTTGTGACATTTGAACTAATCAATTTTATATGATTATTAAACTCATAAATTAATGTTTTTAATAATAAAACAATAATTGCGAATTAAATTTTTTATTTTGATAGTGGAAGTAAGTCTTTATTAAATATTGCAATCAGCTAAATTAATCATACCGCCTATTAAATTATAAAGTAACTTACTTGATACAATCTTGGAAAAATACTGCCAGTTGATTAAAACAAAGAACTGAAGTAATTAAAAATTAACGATTTATATAATAAAAATTCTTTAATAAACCATGTTACGGTGAAGATGAATTTTTATAATTAATTGTTGACTTTTATTTTTATTTAAAAGACTTAGAATATTCGTTATTATTTTTCCAAATAATCTTTTTTGTCTGGCAGTATAAAATTAATGATTTAAGGGTCATTTATAAAATGTTTAATTAGATAAATAGTTTATTTATGATACAGATGCATACAAATGCATATATTAAATTTAAATATCACATTATTTCGATTATTATCGAATATCAGTATTAATACAACGACGTGTTGCGTATGTTGTTATTATATCAATAATTTTTATGAAGAAAACTTTTGAAAGAAAAAAATATTTATCATAAATGAATAGATTTTGTCGAAGCAGAACGTTTCTGCTGATGTCACAGGGTAAAATACAATATTAATTAACAATAGATTTACTTGTAGGTGTGAGTTATTCATGTACGTATGAAATATTTGTTAACAAAAACAGTACAAAAAAGATTTTAAAAATAAAATTGTATTCGTTTTTCTAATTGTGCTAAGACTGTAACTAAAATTGATATGTCATGATTCTTCATGAGTATTAAATTGCATTAAAATGTTTATGAATATAATATTATATAAAGGCAATTTATTTAAAAAGATATAGCAATGCATATAATTAATAATATCAATATAAAAATTGGTTTGATAATTTTCTATTTATACTGTTGAAAAGCATAATATTATTATAAATTACTAATAAGTTTATGGCAATACTAATTAGTTGTGTTGAAAAAAATTAATTTGATTTAATAAAAGTTGTATTTGAGAATACCCGGGTTTTGAATACTTCTATTACATCGCCCTCTACTTTTGTTTAGTACCTCAATTCTCCGCTAGAAATGAAATTAACAAACAAATTTTAACGAAAAATAAAAAATAATTAATTTTCAATAATAAATGAATAACATTACTAAAATTTCGTGATAAATAATAATAGATATAAGAATGGGGAAACCAAAAGTACAGAATTCAAATACAGATTTAAATATTGGTAAGTTTTTTATCACTGAAATTGAATGATAGGTTAACAATAACATTGATATGCATTTTTATACTGAGTAATTATATAAAATGGATTTCAAGTCTCATTTTTTAATCACTTTATGAAATTATTATATTTATATTCATAAAAAATAAAAAAAATGCTTACTTAATGATTCCAGAATCAAATGTCTCATCACAAAAAAGGCATAAAAAGCATAAACACAAAAAACACAAGAAGAAAAAAATACTTCATGCATCGGAAGCATCAATAATTGCAACAACCATTTCAAATAATGAAATCATAGAGAAGAAAAAAATAGTTAATAAATCTCGATCTAAGAAAGATGAAGATAAAGGAGTGGAAAAACCTCGTGACAAAACACCTAAAAGCTCTCATGCAGCAACTGGAACGAATACATCAACATCTCCAAAAGTGGCATCGAAGAAGAAGGTTTCAAAAAGTGGAAATCGAAAAGATAGTGGAACTAGTAGTGAAGAAGAACGTTGGCTGGACGCAATAGAATCAGGAAAACTTGAAGAAGTAGATGATGAACTCAAAAAAATAAAACCTAAAGATCCAAAGTTGATGACAGCTCGACAGAGAGCAATGTTTGAACGTAAAACTGATACGGAACCGAATCCTGGAGTAGAGCAATTGGTATCGTTGCCAACAGGATACAAAGAAAAAGTAATGACAGCGGAAGCAATACAAAAAGCTGCTTTGAAATCATTGAAACGGAAACAACTTGCTGATGAAAAAAGAGAGAAAGATAAGGTAAAAAGCATCAGTAAATTTTTGTTAAAAATATCATCATAAACATTCATTAATAGCATATTTTATTTTAAAGTTTTATTAATTTATTTAAAAACTTTTTTAATGTCAGAAACAAGTTTAGATCTTTTTGAGATGATCAAAGTTGAACAACAATAAAGTTTTCTTTGATAATTAAAATTTTAATCTATAATATAATTTAAAAACTTGTTCGTAGAAAAAAACGATGGAAAGATTATTAAAAAAGCAAGAATCCAAGATGTCTAAACTAGCAGGAAAAGGCAAACCATCAAAACGACAGGTTCCATTAATGACATATACATTAACAGTCGATGGAAGTTCAATATCTCTTCCACCAGGCATGGATTTTCCACTTTCTGCATCCAAAGCGTAAGTTTCTCTTCTATTATTACATAAAGTTAAAAGACTTAAATTATTCAATTGCATAAAAAGATTAATTATTGAATGTAATTATATATTACAGCAAGGAAACACCAGGAATTAAATTCTGTGGCGTTCAAAATTGTCCGAATCCAAAAAAATATGCTTGTTCAAGGACGGGCATTCCTCTATGTAGTCTAGAGTGTTATAAAGCTAATTTAGCTGCAATTTTAGCTTAATTTATTCTAACATAGGATTAAATAAATTAAATTTTATTATAATAGTCCTTGTATTTTTTTAATTCTTATTGTTATTTATAATTATTCATGTTTCTTTAGAGTTTATTACAATCTATTACTATTATTACATCAGCATTGATAACAACCATTTGTAGATGAACATCAATTTTAAGACTTGCTTGACCTAATTTTTATTTGATGCCATCCGTAACCGCTAATGAAAAATAGTAACCTTGCAGAATATTATAAACCGTAACATTTAGTAACTTGTTTCTTACTGTAAATATATCATTTTTTAATAGCATGGTCAACATTCAGTAAATTAAATTAGGTAGTAGAGAGTAATACTTGAACTTTGCAAAAACGTATCCAAAAATTATGGAAAGTTTAGGATTTTTAAAACTCAAACGATTGAAATTATTTAAATAAAACATCTATTGAAGTACAAGTGCATGTAATTAATTTATGTATCAATCAATCCATCCTGTCGAAATGGTGGGGTGATTAGGATTGGAATCGATCCTATCAAGTAGTTTTTAGGTCAATCCAAAATTCAAAATTTTCAACAAACCCCTAAATTCATTTGAATAACTCATCAAATGATTTTATCAAATTTCATTTGTGGTATGTGAATATTTTTCGTTTGAAATTGATTGAACTTTTGATAAATTGAGTTTATTCATTAATGAATTAATTGAAATGAAGGAAAAAAAGTAGTCTTTATTTCAAATAAATAGCTTTAAAACATAAAAGAAATATTGGTTTAAATTGGAGATGATAATTTGTTGCACCTAACTGATCTTTTATCATGATTGTAATTCCATACAACTTGATGACCTTTATAGGAAGAAAATAACGGTTTAATCGTGTGCCAATTGAGAATTGGCCGACTGTGCAACCAGAAGAGATCGAGTCGTAACGCTTGGACCGGTTATTTGCTTCCAACAGCCTCACATGTTGGTGTACACTCCCAATATCAAGCAAAACTATCCTAGACTTTGTTTTGCTTTCACCCATTCGTTCTGTAACGTTTGTTCAGTGCACAACATGATTTACAGTGCCGGTTGTGTATTCTGAAACGATTTTTAGATCACTTTAGTTTCATTTAATTGTTATTTTAAATATTGAGATCATGAAAAATTGTGGGTCATTATGATGGTACCTACTTTTCTCTGGATATCAACTATTTTCCTTTCCAATGCCTACTCTTCAGCTAGTAAGTTACTAATAAAAGAAGATAGCTGATAAATTGTCTTCTAAAATAATTAAATTGATGACGAGATTTCAATAAAATTCCAATTTCTGCAATAATTGGAAATAATAATTTAATTTTACCTTAGTTTGATACTAGTTATTCTATTGAATGATTAAATAGATGAAAGGAAAATTGTTTGAAAATTTGTTTTTAGTTTCCGATCAGCTTGATCATGAGTGCAAACGTCAATGTGTCACTGGAACACGGATGAAATGTCATTACGACTTTGTTATCACAGAAAATCAATCATCAAATACGTGAGTGTACTTTAATTGTAATAGCAATTCAGAGTAAAAAATACATTGAAGAGACGCTGGAGCTAAATTAGAGCTTGTATGTTTGAAATGAAATTCGTTGAAGGAATTATAGAGCAAGATAGAAAGATACGCTAATAGATAGTTGAAGAGATTCCCGTTTGTTTATAGATTGAACTATAATAAAAAATGATCATAAAATAAACTTTACATGCATTAAGAGAAAAATTTACTGTGAAAACAAATAATCTTTTTTTTTCAACTAATAAAATTAAAATCTTGAACAGTTGCAATAAATTATTGTATTGCGAATTTTTTTTATTGATTATATAAACATTTTTTTACATAGCAAAAATTTTATAATGCATAAGAAGCTTCCTTTTATGTCATTGCAAAATTATAATTGGATTTAATGCTACGTAAATGATTAATAATCATATAATGATAGTTTTTATTTGAAAATTGAGAGGAATAAATTGTAATAAATGCAGTAATTATTATTATTATTATTGTTTCTGTGTAATTCTTACTCCTCACAATGATTATAGGACAGAATAGTTGACATCATATTTAAGAAAGACAATAATGTAATATTGATAAAATATTTTACTATTATTAGAAAAAAGCAAGAATGATAAGTTTAATGTATTTTATCTCATTAAATTACTATGCATCTTTAAACAAGAAGTAAATATTTCTTTATTTTTTCATGAAGTGAGCTAACTGAAAAAGCTAACGGTATTTTGTTTGTATATCATAAGTGGCAGTGTTTTTCATGCATTACGCTATAAAGTAGTTCTTGTGTTCATTCCCTGTCTTTTTGTATGTTATAGAATTTGTAATAGTGAATCAAGAGGGAATTGTGATGGAAAATCAATCAAACAAATGATATTAATTAATGGTGAAACTCCAGGACCACCAATTGAGGTAATGACTAAATGAAATTATGATATAAATAGTAATAAATACGAATAAATAATTTTCACATTATTTCACACATGTATTAAATTGATTGAATATTTAAAACTTGATATTTCTATTTTATTTATTTACTAATATTGTATATTTTGTTAAAAGAATCTTTTAAAGCTTTTGATTGAACTTCACTTGAAGATGTAAAAATTAATAAGAACTGATTAGATTTAATAATTGGTTTGAAAGAAAACTTACATTTAAATTATGATCCAATCAAGTTGACTAAAATTTAATCTGATATGAAGTAAAATTATGTTAGATCTTATCATCTTTGGAGAGTCATTATCAAGTTTAAGAGACTTAAATTGATCAAGTAACAGAAGGGTCTCTTTTTTGAATCAAGACCCAATCGTCTTCTGTTTCTCACAGGTATGAAAACCTCCTAGAATATATTTCAGATGGATAACTAAAAAACTAGAAAAGGTATTTAGTACTTACAAACCACAACAGTGCGTCAAATAATAAAGAAAGATGTTCCTTTTACGATAGACAATTTTTATTGGTTTCTAAAAGAGTAGAAGAGATAGGTAGCAGAAAGTTGAAGCTATTTGCAGTCAAGTTTATAACACTAAAAGACTCTCGAAATTTTTTATCTTATTTTCAGACTTGTAAAAAATACCTACTGAAAAGTATTTCAAACACAAATACTCTAAAAGTATTTGAGTAGAGTATTTTACATGCTTTTACTCAAATACTTTACAAGTATGCTCATTTGTAAAATCTTCAGCGTTTTAATGGTAAAAAATCAGAAGTAATTGATTAGACATAGAACGATCCAATCATGCTGAGATCAGATCTTATTAATTTTTTCTGAATTTATATAAGTATGTTATACAACTTTTATTGATGATAGTTATCAAGTTCTACTAATAGTGAATTTTTGATTGTTAGGTATGCTTTGGAGACAGTATAGAAATTATTTTACATAATAAATTGCCAAACCAAGAAGTTTCTTTGCATTGGCATGGCATCAATCGATTGAGTCCTCATATGGATGGTGTTCCGATGGTTACACAGTGCCCGATATTACCTTTCAGCAGTTTTAGATATAACTTCAATGCTGAACAAACAGGCACTTATTTTTACAGTGCTCATACAGGTATTTTACTATGTCAAGATATCATGCGATGACAGAATAACTGGTCATTATTGGAGAAAATATATTATTACTATCTTCAAATAATTGGAAGACTATTCTTAGTTTGTTTTATTATATTTTTAATTAATAAATATTTTTATTTGTTAATTGATTCATATTTAAAGTAACAAAATATGTGGCATTATGCAGACAAATAAAAGAGCAAATTACTGTATATTAAAATTTTATAAACAGAGAAAGCAATTTCTTAATACTTAACAAGTGAAGAAGTAGTTAAAGATATGGAATTTTTTAATTATGCAATAAGCATTCTATTTTCGTTAGAGGTTATTAAGTTTTAATTACACAAGATCCATTTGAATATTTATTCATTTCACACTACAAATTTTTTTAAAATAAATTCTTCTATCATTTTTGTCATTTTATAAACAGAAAAAAGGAAGCAGAGTGCAAAAATACAAGCAAGAGCAAGTTAAATAACGTATTTTAGAACTTGTACGTTGTTCCTTGCAATTCATTTAAATAGTAAAATGTATATTCTAACATTTATGTATAAAATTTGAAAAAATAAAACAATGTAATTATTTCAAGTAATTATAAATTATAAATGTAATTACATCAAATTACTGTTTATTAATTTTTAATTTTTTTTTTCTAGTGTCTCAACAAGGAGATGGTTTATATGGAAGTTTAATTATTCATACACCATATGATGATTTGAATCACGAAAAAGTTTTAATATTTTCATCAATACCTTCAGCTCCATTATCATTACATATAGATCCGGAACCACCAGTTCCAACAGCTCTTACAATAAACGGCAAGGTAAATTAAAAACGGAAACGTTGTTATAATTAATGCATGAAATATATCATTTCATGGATCTCAAGATATTATATTAAAAGAGTAAAATTTGTTTGTCTGAATAAGTAAATTGTTCCTCACCGGGTGAGTGATTTTCTCGTTTTACCTCATGAAATAATTCAGCTAATTTTTTGAATAGACTGTTTCTCATTAACAATTTACTGACCTTGTTTTCAACCAAAACGGATTTACGAACTCATTTCGTTGTAACAAACTTGATTAAAGTATCTTTTTGTTTCTTTTCTTTATTCTACTTTTATTTCTCCCTTTTTTTTCTTACAATGTGATAGTATATTATAATTAATTAAAAATAACTAAAGACAATTTTATTTAATATTTTTTGTTGAATATGAATTTCCTAATTAGTAATGATCTTACATAAATGTAGAATGAAAATATCTTTACAATATAATTATAGACGCAGCATTTTGAATTGTTTGTGGAAAATAACCATCAATATCGACTCAGACTGATCAATGCTAATGCATTTAATTGCCCTGTAGCATTTTCCGTAGCTGATCACCTGGTAGAAGTGCTAAATGTTGGAGGAAAAGATATAAATCCACGAAAATTAACTTCTCATGTATTAATATTTCCAGGTAATTATCATAATGAGATAATTTTTAGCGTGCAAATTATCTTTGGTTATCGATTGTTATAAGCTTTATAAGCTCCTAAATGATCTGTTGGTATCCCTCAGGTACGTTAACTGACATGGCATGGGATTTAGAGACCATAGGGGGATAGTAAAGGTTTTGAGAAATTATTGTATTCATATTATTATGAATCCTGTATAATATCACACAATACATATTTAGAGAGAGATAGGGAGATCATTTGTATTGAATTATTTAATTTATTTTATCTACGTTCATAGAAAAATTTAAAAATTATCATTTATATATTAACTTTATATTTTTATATAAAATTTTATTTTATGTTTCTGAGAATTAAATAATCCTAATTCTCATCCATTATGGATAGGCAAAAATTAGTACTACCACCGTGATTTTACTCTACAAAGCAATCGATTTCCTAGCATCTAAAAAAAAAAAGGATCATCTCCGTTGTCCGGATATTATTTCCATTTGACAATGTTTCAATGCATTCATAAAAAAATTTGACTGATTAAAATAGATGAAATCTATCTTTTATTATTGAAGACAAAACATCAACAATGCAAAATCAGATCTTGCTCAGAGTTCAAATCGTTGATGATTTTCAAATAAATTGAAAAAAAATTCAATAGAGAATATTTAATTAATATCAATCTATCTATTAAGTATTTATTATTTTAATATTATTAATAAGTATTATTTTTTTTTCTAGGAGAAAGATTTGATGTAATGTTGACAGCAAATAAATCATCTAGACGATACAGCTTAATTCTTCAAGGTGCTCAGGACTGTAAGAATTCAATTCACGAGGCTTCAATGGTTTACGATGATGTAAAATCAGATGATTTTTATATGAACGATAATAGTCATCTTTATCTTGATATTCCTAAAGAATTGCGTGGTCATGGATGTCAAAATTTGGGGGAGAATGTTATCTGTTCGTTAGATTTAAAAGGCTCAGGAGATAAAAAAATAATTCAGCAATCTTCCACGATTTATTATATTCCTTTTGATGTCAACTATTATGAAGGTATCACTGATGACATGACTGATTATGCTTTCAATATTTATGGCTTTTCTTATTACCCTTCCTATCTGAGTAAGTTTACATCATTTATTATATATTCTAAAATAACTAAAAAGTAGTAACATATTCACTTAGTTTAGATTTTATTCATTAATAACGATGTTTTAAGACATTTATTGCAATTTAAATTTATATTGCTGAGATAAATGAATTTTATTTACAATCTCATTTTAATTAGCTAAATATTCAAAACTTTTTTACAGCAGCTGGCAAAACGGATGGAGTGAAAATTGCTCAAGTCAACCGAATGACTTTTAAATATCCTCCATGTCCAATTTTATCTCAACCGGATGCAGTTCCAGAAAATATGATCTGTTCATTGGACCGTCGTGCTCAAACTTGTGAATACAATCCCGATTTTTGCGAATGTTTTCAAGTAATTTCAGTACCTGTTAAAAAAGTTATTGAAGTTATTTTGATTGATGAAGGTAAGTTAGTATTATAATATTCATTATTATTATTATCCCGATTATGTTAATCATTATTAATAATTTATCATACGAACCTATCCTATTAAATTTTGTGAAACGACCATGTAACAAATTATTATCGAATTTATTATAGAGAAGCAATATAACACATTATTGATTTTATGAAATATTCTACTAAAATTTGTCTTTATTACATTGTATGTAACTTTAAACAGCTCGAGGATAATTCAATTCTGGTGTTATAATAAACGTCGGTAATATGCGCAATCATGCTTTGTTGACGTCAAGAGCTGTTGGCGTAATATTGTTCAGTTATTAATATTATTTTTCTTACGCTTGAATAATAATATTAAGTTCAAACAAATCAAATGATATACTTATTAGTAAAAGAACAATTAATAATTACTATAAAAAAGTTGATTAAAATTGATTATGTTTTTTTTTTAAATTGAAATAGGTAAAGGAGGGAATACCAGTCACGTATTTCACGTTCACGGTTACAATGTAAGTGTAATAGGATTTCATCAGTTTGAAAAACCAATAACTAGAGAAGAAATAGTGTCTTTAGATCAACAGAAACTTCTACATCGAAATTTAATGGATCCACTGATGATGGATACTTTTACTGTACCGAACAAAGGATATATGATTCTCCGCTTTTACACTAACAACGTCGGTTACTGGTTATGGGAAGCTCGAACTACTGGAGTAGTTTCCATGACAAGTGGACCGCCAATGCAATTTTTGATGCGAGTCGGCAACCGAGAGAATATGCCAACTGTGCCAATCGATTTTCCCACTTGTGGCAATCACAAAGGTCCAGATTTAATATTTGAAGATCATTGAACATATCAGCGATGAAATATCGTTACTAGAAATAATATATTTAAATTAATTTTTAACACTTGTAAATTTCCTTTTTTATTATATAACAAGAGCTTTATGTAATTGTAATACATGTATTTATTTTGATTTTTTACGTATTTATTGATTTTACAAAATTGAATAAAATCGATCAGCTGTCTTATGATGAATTCAGTTTGGTCGATTATCTATTGTATTAAGGAGACACATGGTTTCCCATACTAATAATGGATGAAGAAGAATTTAAAGTTTGATAAACTTTATGGAAATTTATGATAACTTAATTCTGTTTGAGCTTAGTAGCTCACAAAATTAGATAAATATCGATAAAATAGCTTATACCTACGACTTCGTCCGCGTCAAACTTGGACAAAAAAATTCGCGAACTCATGACACCCCTTTACAAGATAAAATAATTTTTTTTTCATTATAAAATAGACTCAGTGCTCATTAACGAGCCCTCGAAATGGCTGACACTACCTGGCTTCGCTCACTCAAACTAAAGTTCACACTACGAACTATATTTATACATATGTCCCGAAAGATTTTCATGCTAACATTAAGACAAAACGGTTTATGAGGCGACCCTCATGAACATATGCATATTATTATTTCAAATATTTAAAATAATAATTGTTTTAATGTGAAAAATAATTGTGCTTGTTTCTAAAAAACATTTTTTTTCAAAAGTTACAAGTTTTTTCGAAATTTATATTGTACATTCGAAATGTACATCGAAATCAATGTACATAATATATGAAATCAATTTAATTATATTTTATAAACAATCTTTTTAATATAAGTAAATAATATATATGCACTAAGCAATAAAAGTATCAGTTGCAAGTAATTAGTTAAGTGTAAGTAATTACTTATTCATTACTCTCTTAAACTGAATCAGTGAAAATTACTGTGGTTCAGTGAATATTCACTGATTCAGTTTAAGAGAGTAAATATTTAATTATTATTCAATTTCAATATTAGTAAAGTGACGAGAAATTAATGAATATAGTTATTTTTATGATTATTACTTTTTCATTCAATATTTTTTCAGATATTTTATTTAAGTATTCTTCATATTAAAGTTCTTATTTTAAGAAATATACACAAGTATATTATGAACTCATGATATTTACCTATTCTTGTTCATTAAAATTAGCGTTTATAGCAGCTTCGAAAGATCCACATGTTGGAAAACCTGGAGGTTTTGGTGGAAGATCAGAGTCCTCTCCAACATGGAAAATCATTTGCATACCAGTAGCTGAATGATAATCCATATGGCAGTGCATAAACCAATATCCTAGAGTAGAAGATGATTTTCATTTTATTTTATATTAAACAATATTTACTTATATTAATGAAAATAAGTTTATTCCAGAATCTATAGTTTTGATAAACATTGAATAATCCAAACAAACTTTGCAAAGTTCATTGACCAGTAAATGAACAGATAAGTTCAACAGATGAAGATAAATTGATTGATAATTAAAAGTTTGTGTGTGATAATGAAATATATTTGAATATATTAATTCTGTTATATAAGATAATTTTGTCATGAAAGTTTATATAAATCCTTCACGAAAAATTATTCACGCACTCATAAGTGCCTTAATAATCTCTCGAGAAAGTCATACAAAAATAGTTATCAATATAAAAACTTATTTTTCAATAAAAATGCAATCAATTCAGAGTTTGCTTAACTTTCTTAAATACTTATTTATTTATAGTTTATTTTTGCGATAAAATCTGTCTCAATATGAATTTTTTAATGGCATTTTTTCATATTGAAATGTCTAATTGATTCTATAAGTCTTAATAAAACTTTTTCTATCATACAAAAATTAATACCAGGATTAGTAGCTTTATATCGTAGAATCACCCATCCTGCTTGAGGCACTAAGACAGTATCTTTCTGTGATGGTTGATCATACACCCCACCTATCAAGCGTCTTTGATGATCAGACATCACTGCTTCTATATCTGAGGTTGTAATATTACGGTTATCTTCAAAACGTCCCATGTCTAACACGTAAAAATGTGAACCGTGAAGATGAAATGGATGAATTAGAGATGGCAGTCTTTCTAAAAAATAATAGAATTTTTGTTATTACAACGTAAAAATTTTTTTATTTAATAGATGAAATTCGATAAAATAAAACCTTTATCGTAGAGTACAATTTCAACAAGTGCATTCTTCGGAATATGTCTGATATGTGTACATGAACAAGGAAGGTTTGAAGCCGTGCGGTTACAATAATTCGAATTTGGACCTTCGCAGAAATCTTCATGACCTTTTGGATCAGATATTGGTGGAGCAGATGGAAATTTGAAATTGATATTATCGATTAAACTCTGTAATGGTACTTGTTGTGGTGCCACTGCAATAATGAAATAAAATTTAATAAATTATTTGTAATTTGAAAATTAATAAAAAAAATATAGAAATTTTTTGCTACTTTTTGTTAGAACGTATTCTATCTCCAGGCAATATGATTATTTTTTTATAAAGCCGGGAAGAGTGAAAAAATTTTATTGCTTTTTTCCAAAACTGATTTGACACTAATTCTCGAGTGGTCTTTTAATTCTGAAAGCACACAAATTTTATTATCCGGCTTTAGTTTTATTAGTCACCTGTTTTATTGTGCTGTCAGTTGATTTTATAGCCAATACATGAACAAAAACTTTTATTTATTTTTTCTTGAAGAAACTAATTTCACGTAAAAAGTAAAACAAATACTTGGATCAATACAAAAGATGATATCTTTTTTATAAATTCACAAATATTTTATCTAATAAAAAATGTTAAAAATGATGCAATTGATTGTGAATTTATTTACCGAAAAAAGTAGGATAATGGTCGGGATCAGAACTAAATAATGGATCATTCTGATCACTTGAGTCGAAATGATGGAACCAAAAAGGTAATATTAATTGGACATCTGCTTCAACATTTAATATTTCATCATCGAAAGGTTCTGCTGTTTTTAAATTTGATGGACAAATAGACACATTGTTTGGTGTACAATTACTTTGAAGAGGATTATAAAGCTGAAATAAAAATAGTTCTGATCAAAAACCAGTAGAAGTGCCCAATATTTATCATCAAAAAGCGTGAAATTGAATTAAACAAGTAAAAAAGTTAGTAAGAAATTTTTTTTAGTTGATGAATTATTGAGGAGAAGTTAAAATTGATCGAGATATATTTACAATTCCACGAGGAAGCCCATTGGCGTGAGTGGGTGCTGTACTGTTACCCTCCTCGGGTGTTCCTTCATATTGGATCGTTGCCAATTGATTTATCTCAGTTTCTGAACACTCACCAAGTCCCCTCACTTGAATCCAGTATGATTTAACGGTTCTGTTGGCATTTATCACAAAGTCAATTCGTTCACCTGGTCCACTGACAATTGTGTTGACATACACCGGCTTAATGCTACTACCATCTTGAGCAATCAGTAGTAGAGGATGATCTTCAATATTCAGTTGAGCTAAACACACTGTGGTAAACGAATTAATCAACCGGAAACGGTAACGAGTCCCTGGTTTTACATGAAATGTCTCTAGCTGAATGTTTGTCGTGCTTCCATTGGGAAACTGAAAATATGACAATTAACAGAAAATATATTTGATGAATAATTTTAATTGCTTAAATTTTTAACAAATTGTTTGTTTGATTTGAATTAAAGTTATTTGTAAAATTGTTATTATTCATTTGAAAATTTTAAACCATAGCTATATACTTTTTATTCTGAAATTCCAGATAAAAATGCGAAATTATTTCTATCATAATGTAATTGAATTTTTTTTACATTGTTTAATTCGATAAATTAACTCAATCTTTTCATAAAAAATAGATTGGATGATATAAGAAAATAATGACTTACTGTAAATGTTCCTCTGCCATTTATCAAGATATTTTCTGCAGTTTGACCAGGCAATCGTTGCCTCAACCCCGGATATCGATCGGTAGACAATTGATGTAGGCAATCACTGATAAGAATAACATGAGCAGGATCATCTTCATCATAGAATATAGAATTCGGATCATCTTCAACAGGTTCTCGTATTATCATAGGACCATATTGACCGTCCAATCGATGCATTGCTAAATGGGAGTGCCAGAAATATGTTCCAGACTGCTTTACTTGAAATTGATATCTAAATGTATTCAATGTTGGAATGGGGCACTGCGTGACGTATGGAACACCATCGTAATATTGGTAACCCTCTTGAAAGATACCATGCCAATGTACTGTTGCTTCAAGTCCTGTAGCTTTATTCTCAACATCTACTATTATGTAATCGTACTTGCAAACCTATGAACAGTAATTCAACTTAATTTATTGGACATTTTTTCAACTTGTAATTATAGCAATTCAAATAATCTTTGGAATTTATGAAACATTTTCAAATAATTATAAGACTGCATTATTTATTGTTACTGTTTCAATTATTGTTATTTACTTTTAATTGTTTCTGATTTATGAAACTTGATAAATTGTAGAATATAAATATTTTTCTGCTTTTTCTTAGGATAATTTGGAATAAATATTAATTATTAGTGATTTCTAATTTAATAATTAAATAAGAAGATTGGTTTGATAATATAAGTAAAATTCTGTTGTATTCGACGGATATTCCAATCCAATAAGCAAAGCTTCAATACTTATTTGAATCAGTGGGTAACAACAAAAGGTTCTAGTCACCTTGTGATTTTAGAATAGTTTCAATATGTTTACTATTATCTGCTCTTAATTCAGATTTAGGTTTTGCTTTAATAAATAATGTTTAAAAAAGGAGTGCCTACACTCTAAAATGTAGCACATAATTACTGAAGCTTTGCTTGTTGGATTGGCAATGATAATTATTGTGTTTAAGAATATTTAAATTAAAATATAATTTAACAACTGTAAACATTACCTGAATGTGAGGACCAGGAACCATTCTGTTAGTAGAAAGAACAGTTTTTTCAACTCCATCACTCACAATGCATTGACACAAATCAGTTGAATTTTCAAATCCTTGAGTTGAAGTGGGTGTACAGAATTGACAGGCTCTAAAAAAATATCAATATTTGTAGAATGTAGTTTTTTTTTCAATTTTTAAAAAACTGTAAAAGATTATAAAATCAATTGTAGAACATTTACAGTCCATTAGTAGGATAAAATTCGATAGTAAATTTATAGTAACAAATTTTTGGTGGTTCATCTTTGATACAAGTTCGTAGACAGTCTTCAGAGTTTCCATTAATAAAGACTGATAACAATACTAGAGTAAAATAGATAATCGATAGTAACATATTGTCCCTCGTTATCTACGATACAATACTTTTTAAATTATTTAAAAAAAAACCAAGTTAGTAATGAATATATATACCAAAGTGAATGAATATCTTATCTTTAATTATTTATTATTTAAAAGCAGAATGATTAAGATAATGAAGATATAATTCATACTTATTAACGAATTATTTCCAACTGTTCATAACACACGTGTTGATAAAAACTTTAACCTTGAATTATTTACAAAAATTTATATGTTTGTCGCAAATAGTTAATGTCAAACAGTAAATGTCATTTTAATTAGTTTTATGTCCAATAGCATACTGTTGAAATTTATAGAATACCAGCAATCCCATAAATGCCATCGAATGTGACGAATTTTTCATGTTACCAATCAAATATATTGTCTATGTGACAATTTCATCGAGTTGTCTCAGCGTATGTTGTAGGAAGTTAAATGATGTCCAAAAGAATTAATTGTTTTTGTAACAATAAACAAATAAATAAAAAGTATAATAAAAAATGATATATACTTTGAGTAATTAAAGCGATTTTATACTTGACTGCTTTATAATAGACAGCAAAAAAATAACACCTGAATTTTTTTATAAAGTATTTTTACAGTTTGATTGGGAAAAAAAAGAGAGGTTAGTAACATAATAATAAAGAAAGTGTAAAATTATAATTTAAAAAAAAATCTACATTAATGAATTAAAGTTTATCAAAACGTCAAAACCAGTATTTATCTTTTGGTACGTAATTTTAATTCTGTATTTAGTATTAGGTTAGTTATTGTGACTAGAGACTGACATAGGATAGACATAACAAGAGGATCAGTGTCCTCAAGACTGAGTTTTCACTCAGAGTAATGGACCACGACAAAACAACATCAGAATAAATGTCAGATATTGCTAATTTGATCTCAGTTTTACAATACTGTTTATAATTAAATTGATTTAAAATATTGTAACATAATAGAAAAATTTAAAAAAGCCAGCATTGATGTACATAAAAAGAATCAATTAATTTTGTGTTTACACATAATAATAATTCGACATAATTCCTATCTTGTCTTTTGTATTTTGAATTAACTTTATGTCAAGATATTATTTTAATTTTGTTTTATTATAGAATGACAAAATAAAATTAATAAAGAAAAACATTTGATTTCAACCATCAATTTTCATGTAACCATTATGAAAAAAATTTATTTAAAATCTTATGTGATCAAATTGTAGCTAGTGAATGACACTTTGGTGTGAGAACCATTCCAAATCACGAATTAATAAAATGAAATTTAATATTTCAAAATAAGTAAATAAATTAAACAATTCCTGAGCCTAATTTCCAATATTTTCTTGTTACTTAAAAATAGTGGCATTTTTCTACATAAATTCTGAATATCCGGATTCACAACAATTTGTCCTAACTTAAGACATTTATTATTCCTAAGAATATATCAACTTGTTAAATTCAAATCATTGAATAGTCATTGCAAATTAATTGTGTCTATTAATTTATATAGGTTTATCAATTGAACTCCAATCATTGGATGATTCTGAAATCAAAGTTTTTTACATCTTTCAACTGGTACATAACACATTGTCTGGTTATTTACTTGCCTACAATGGATAGACAAAAAACAACAATGTGGCAAAGTCATAGTAACAATGATAAAACAAAAAATGAAAGATGATACACATCATACTGGCCATTGCAACGACCAAAAAAAAAATGTGGACTATAAGTGAGAAGCCAGCAATGAGTCGAGTGTGGAAGAATATAAGAGTAGCGTGGTGATGATCCTATACAGGTTTCACGGAGGCTAGAAAAAAGAGAAGAGAGCTATTGTCCGGATCCATTTGCATCGGTTTTTCACTCACTAGGGTGGCTTTCAGGTCCTCTAGGGCTATATAAAAACGTCGAAGCTCTTTACTCTGTAAAACGCAACGTTTCCGCCGTCCGCATGAGTTTATAGTTGTAAAAGATTTTTTTCGCACGTATATATGGCGATGTTTGAACAACCCTGAGCATAAAAAGTTCGGTTAATTGTAAATGAAATTTTTTTATGAGAAACTTTTGGTTGGGATAAAAGTATTCTGTTACTATATTATACTATCTTTTACAAAACTTTATTTTTTTACATAAACTATTTTTGCTAAATATGTATTAGTTAATTAGAGTTAAAGAGTTAAATTTATTCTTTAATAAGTAGAGAAAGTTGTGAATTGTCTCACCTTTGGGAAAAGAAGTTAAATTCTTCTAAATTAAATATTTTTTTGAATTGTTTAACAACTTTTTGATCAATTTGATCATGGTCTGATCAATTGTTTCTAATAGTATTCTAAAAAAAAAAAATATCCAATTTATTTTTCCTTTTATTTACTTTTTTTAGCCTAAAACCTATTGAATACTGTTGAAAGATCATCAACAAAAACTATTCATTCTGAGAAGTAGTTAAAAATTTCAACATCATATTTATCTCCAGTCGCAAATTTTTTTAAAATCGATCTCCATAAATTATGATGATGAAAACCAAACGAAAGCTATGCATTGCAATAGATCATAAAATTTTTACCTTCAGAATTAAATACTATGAATTATTTTACCCAATTATATTAATTATTATATCATTTAAATATTTAACTCCCCAATAATTAGATTATAAATAATAAGATTTGAACGTTTGAGTATGAAATAAGAATCAAAGTAATGATTGTTAATAACAGTACTTTAAATTCACGAGCTATTCCAAGAGTTCATTTACCTTTGAGACAAAGGATCATCTAAAAAAGCTTTAAAGTCTCATGAGTTCATACCCTCTTCACGATTAGTGTTGTGGTTACATATCCTTTCTTCTTAACATGCTTTTAAGATTGTCCAGCTTGCGGCCTCTCGTTACATTATTGTACTAGTTACATTTCTTTCTTACTTTCCCTTTAGTACTACAGGAACTTTGTAATTCTTTTCACCTTCATTTTTCTACTATCTTTCCCTTGATACTGCACCACTTCCTTTTACATTTCTCATCTTTTTTCCTACTCTCCTCAGCTTCAATTAGTTTCGTTCACTTTTCATCTCTCAAACTGTAAGGATTCTCTTGTGAAATACTCGGTAGAAATATCTTTTTTTTTTAATGAAATAAGTTTTCAAACAAATAAAAAATATTCGCAATAAATTGGAATTTTAACAGTGATTTTATTATTGCTTGGTATTTCAGCTCCAAACTTATCGAATTTCAATATGAAAATGAAATTGATTTAAATTGAAATAAGGTAAGGATAATCAATAGCCTCCTCTTTATGAATTTTAATGTATCAATTTAATTGGAATGTGAATTATTTTAATCAATTATTTTTAAAATTTATTCCAGGTTTTAAGGAAGATTTAAAAATGTTAAATTCAACCAAGATGATAGCTTGGTTGCAGAAATAAATCAACATGCATTGGATTACTTCATTATAATTGAAATGTTGCTGTTGAAATTAATTATTTGATTAAAATGAAAATCAGTAGAATAAGAAACAATTTAAGGTAGGATAATGAATGTCAGTAATGAGTTCAAAATCATGTTGATTATGATGATGATGATAATTGAGAGAAATGCAAGGTCTTTGAATTAAAACATGAATCTTTAAAGGTAATATTACACTGGCTATTATTTCTGTTAAGATAAGCTTATACATTTCTGTTTCTATACCTTTGGGATAAGATGTCCGAGGTTATCTTCTAAATAGAATATACCAGGCTCACAGTTACCGTTGTTCTTCCTTGCCAATGGTACACCATTTCCAGACCGATTGTCTTCTTGACATTTGTAACAATAGTAATTGTATTCTATAGATATGTTATGACCTTAAAATTTAAATACAGATCCCAATTATATATTTCTGAAGCATGAGTACTTGTTACTTTTGATTTATTATTTTAATTGTAGGGAATTATTATTATATACAATTAAGATCAAATAAATACATCTGTAAGAGGTATTTTAAAAAGGCTTGGATTAAATAAATAAATAAATGTTGAATTGTTTTTATACATTTAAATAAATAAAAAACTTACTTTTTAAGATGACCAATAAGAAAATGGTATCTCCATTATTTTGTATCTAGGTGAAAGCTTATGAGGTAATTATATTATTAGGTAAATAGATCAATATAGTAATTAGACATCTAATCATGTTCATCTCAAAGTTGGATTGTATTCTCTAATAAGGTAATTGATAGATTATAGTATATTGTTGGAATATATGAATAGCTGAAATTACATTAATTTAGATTAGGATGTTCATTTTATGTAAATTAATTAAAAGAGATATGCAGAATATATTATTATGATTAGAATATATTTTCTTTAATCAGGATATCTTTCTCTGCATTAAATATCTCATATTGCACAATTTTTTTCTATTTATATAAACTTTACTTTGAATACTATTATTATAAATTCGTTAAAGAATAATTTGAGTACTCAAAAATAATTTTAAACTTGAAATTAGTAGTTAAAGGTTCAGTTTATTTTTCATTTGTGAATCTTTTTGAATGTTCAAACATTACTGAACTACTCTTGTGCTTTTTCTTACATTAGTGTCAAAAAATAAAGGAAATAAAATAGTGAGAAAAAAGCATCCCTTAATTTTTTGCTATGTTACTTTCTTATAAAAAGCTGTGTTTTAGTTTGTTCTGTTTAGCTCGAAAGCTCATGATTTATATTACAGCTGAAACAACTGTCTCTTGAACTATATTCTCAAGAATAAATTACAGTGAAAAGTTTTTAAAGGTGGAAAATTGGAGCTTATTTATGAGTGAGGAACATAGCAGTCAATTCTGTATGTTCTATATCTCTTAATAATATCAATTAATATTTTATTTATTGACAAGTAATCAATGAATGTTATTGAAAAGCATTTAGATTTATTAGAACAATAATAATGATAATAACATTATCAATATACCATTAGTAACTGAAAAAAACTATTAGCTTGATTGTCAGACCATTTCTATCATTTAACAAAAGAAAAGCTTTTGTGGCTAAG